GGGGGGGCGCTGTTGTTGTTTCGTGGGGGTTTTTTTGGGGTTATTCACCTTAGGCCTTTTCCGGGGGGGGGGGGGGGGGGGCACAGCGAGATGACAAAAAGTGGGTGCCTGTCTGTGTTCGGGGTGGCGTGGACTTTTGGTGGGAAGTGAAACGAGATGCCGTGGGAAGTTGGCGAGAGCATGACCGCTAGTGGGCGTGAGGGAGGGAGCATTGCTGCTGGGTAGCTCATGGGGGCGGAACGAAGAAAAAGAAGGAAATAACACGGGAAGGAATGAGTCCACAAGACGAGAATACACACACACAACAACGCAACCCGCGGTCTTGGTGCACGTACCCGACACTCGCGTCCGGGATAAAGAGTACCACTGTTTAGTTGTGAAATAAGCTGCACGCATGTTGAGAGTTCGTGACGGCGTCGACCTGCTCTGCAAAGCCCCGAGCGGAATAAAGTACCCCCTGGCCAACAATCTACAACATCGGCGGCAGGCTCCAGGCTCCCATACGCACACCACAACGACAGCAGCACCGCAGAGCATCACCGCCGCAACTATACGTTGAGGATCACGGTATAGCTCCAAGCAATATCCTTGTCAGAATCACCTACGCCATGCTGTGGCAAACTATCTCTTTGGTTCTGGCCCGTGCGCTCGCCCTCCGTCACAAAAGCGCACCCGACGCAACGGTTACATTTCTCTGTGCCAGTTCGGTTATGATCTCATATATACAACCGCCAAAATGAAACGTCATCGCCCAAACGTTCGTAGGCATACTTGAATCGAAAAAACTCCAAAAGCGACCAATAGGACACCCCGCACTCTACCCCCCCCCCAAACCCTACCTCCTTGTCCCGGACGGTACCCCATCCCGCCTTGATACCCCCCTTGGCCGCCACCCATACTTGCGGCATTCGGCGGCGCCCCCATCATGCTACCCCCCTGTGGTGGAGCTGCCGTCGTGGGAAACAAGACAGAGAGTGGAGTCCCGACGGAGGGAATGGACATGGGGGGGGAGGGTAAGCGATGGTACGGGCGACGTACAGCAGTATGTAGTTACGGGCATTGTACTGATAGGATTCATTGTCCGAAGAATGCTGCGATGCGCGCGAATCAAGAATACGACGACATCAGTGGGCGTAACGTAGGCGTGGCGATGTTTCCATTGCAGCTGCTCAGCAACACCCGCAGAAGAGAACGTTGCGGACACGGCAAACTTCATCGAATCCACCGACAGCCACGACGAACGTATGCATACATCCACCATCACCACACACTCCACGCACCGGGCCGGCGAACAATAACCCGCACTGTCGCCCCAACGAAGCGCGCACAACACACCGCTCCATAGACGCCACACGCAAACAACCTCTCCCTCGGTACAATCAAACAATCAAAAATCCTTTATCTCCGCGGCCCTGCACGCAGCCCCCCCCCCCAAGAAAAAAAAACTACTGCAGGCCCCCCTTCGGACCCTTCGGCGCTACTACTACCGTGCGACAAGAGCCATCCCCAAGCCGGTTACACCAAAGTCACAACAAAAAACACGACCAGGAAATGACCGAACGCTCACCTCCCATGCCGTTCGGTGGCGGGCCCAGAAACATCTGTCCCATCTGATTGGCCAAGCCCTGGCTCGTTGGCGGAGGTGGCATGCCTGGCGGTGCAGCGCCCATTGGGGGGCCGGTGGGAGGGCCTCCCTGCCGATCGATCCAATCGAATTTTGTCACAAACGATCCATGCACAAACAGAGTTAGAGAGAGGCGTGTAAGGTGGGCGGGTGGGTTGGGTTCGGTGAGGGATATCTGCTGCGGGGTTTGGTGTTGGGTCTTGGGGACATAGCCCGGGGGGCCCTTTCTTCTCTCCTGATGGCGACCAATGTCTGCGCTTGACGATTGACGATACACTGTTCTGCACCGCAGCAGCGGTACGTTCTTCCAGGCTGATTAATCCCAACCACAGAAAACCACACCAACTAGGGACCTGGAATGCGCCTAGACTCGAGCAAGATGGAGAGTGAACCGGCATCAACGACAAGGATCACAGACTGGACACGGTCAGATTCAGCCGTGGGGAATGTACACCATCGGCAAAGCCTTCCAAGACACTCAAGCGAGTTCACGCAGAGTGGCATACAAAGTGGTGTTTGGTTGTCTGTCGTTCCGCGTCGCTGGGAGCGCCACCGCACTTGAGTCAAGAGAAGCGAAGCAAACAACGCCTCTGATGTCCTACACGCACGACAACCCCCCTCCTCCTCCTCGACAAATAAGGCAACAGTACGTGTTTCGTTCGCCCCCCCCCCCCCCCCCCCGACGGTCTTCGCTACCTTGCATCGGCGTTGGCTGGGCGGCAACCCCTCCGCCCACCGAAAAAAAACTGAGCTCCGCGTCCGCTCGACGGAGGCGCCGGCGCCGCCACCAAGAGACTCCTGCTGCGCCAGCTTCTGCTGTTGCGGAGGGGGACCTCCCATGGGGGGGCCCGACATGGGCGGCGGAGGCGTTGCCCCCATCCGCATCCCCGTTGGAAGCCTGGCCTCCTCCTCCGCCAAACGGCGGCTGTCCTACGAACCCAGCCGTCGCCGCCGCCGCGGCCGCCGGTGGTTGTTGGGGGGGGGGCGGCCCACCCGGCGGAGCCCCGCCGCCGCCCCCGCCGTAGCCCCCGTATTGCTGGGCCGGGGGCCCAGCCGCTCCTGGTGTTCGACCCCCTGGGCCGGAGGTGGGGGGGGCGTAGCTTCCTCCTCCCCCGTACATCGGTTGCTGCTGTTGTTGCTGCTGCTGCTGCTGCTGTCATCGACGGGTGGCAGGGGCGGATCGCGGGGGGTTGAGATGAGATATGGTGGTTGAGGGTTGGGGATGCGTCTGAGAGGATGATTTGGGGTAGGGACTACCGCATTTTTGAATGGAAATCTGTAGGTGTGGGAAGAGATGGCGTGCAGTGGACATGCCTTTTAATACGTGCTTTGGACGTAGGCATACTCGGGCACGGGAGAGAGACGAGGGAGGGAGACAGCACAAACAAAGAGAGAGAAAGAGAGACGCAGAGTGAGAGACGGATTGCTGGAGAGAGGCACCCGAAACAGAAAAACAAGCATCACATAGTAGCCCAGACGCAGCTGCTCACAAAACGAACCCAAAGAAACCACCCAAACCACCCCCAACAGAAACCGGCACGTCACGAACCTGGCCACCGAGCGAGGTAGTGCCCGAGGGCGGGCCGCCAGGCGGCGGCGGCGGTTGTCCGTAGCTAGGACCTCCCGGGGGTGGGGCGCCGCGCATTCCCCCCGCCGGGGGAGCGAAGTTGTTGTACGACATCTACTCGCAGTACCGCACTCTCTGTCCCTGGCAGCAGTGCAAGAAAGCAGGGGCAGCAAGACGCAGAAGGTGGGGGGGGGTGTTGCGACCGTTGAGGGTGGCGCGGGAGGGGGTTGGGTACTTTACAAATGGGTACCCGGATAAAGCCGACTCAAATGGCGCCCGAAGGTTCGATTGCAGCAAGCAAAGCAACATAGCACAGCACTCAATGCGAGAAGACGAGCCATTAAATAGCTACTGCTTCCACCAGGGCAAGTCGTATCGAGACCAAATGGACCCGCGGGTCGAGTTTCGGTGCGCCAATCGCGGCCATTACAGGTGTGTACACGCAAGACAAGCGCAGCGGCGCCCCAAGCTGAATCTGACTACGCCTTCGAGTGGCAACAGGTGCACCTTTTACTTGTAGCGTTGAGGACGGTGCGATTTCAGCAAGGATGTGTTTTCGTGTCGGATGTGTTGACCCCTTACCAATTGTTTGTCCAAGACTATTTGGCTAACACGAAAAATTACGCCGCGTCCATTGCTATTGGCTAACACCAGACACGACGCCGTCGTTTGACGGTGCTACTAATACTGCAGCTGCGGCAGTCAAATCAGTGGACATCACGCACAAAAAGCCGCCAGCTGTCAGTACATGGGGGCATCAGCCCGAAAGAAGAGGAAAACAGCACCGCTCTTGCCATACATGAACCATCACCAGCAAGTACCGTAGAAAGGGCGAAGAGATGGCACCCCCCGGAGACCGACCTTCAAACCTCGGTTGCTCCGTAACAAAGTGGGTGCGGAAGATAGCCCGATACGTCTGTCTACGGAAAGCCCTCGACTAGATGTTTCCAATACCACCACTTTTGGTATTGATGCAAGCTTGGTTGTGGAGCAACCGGGCTTTGTAGGCCTAGGGGGGGGTGCCATCTTTCCGCATCTTACGGTACGCATACGAACAAAGTAAGCTCACTACTGCGTGCACACTTCTCATTGGTCGGCCCGTTTAGCGCGGTCGATTATGTAAGAGATGGATAGAGTCACGTCTAGACTACTGTTTGTTGTACATATGGATTGTCAATGCGATGCTTAGTCTGGTCGTATGCGGGACTACCTCTATGCACACTGCTGTGTGCCATGACCGAAAGGGGTGATGCTGAACTCCACGACTGCACGTCTGGCTAAGGTTCTGTGCGTGGACGTACACAGAAACGGGAGCATGATACGCCTGTGATGATGACGAGGGGGCGGACGTTTGCAAGCTGTTTAGAGCGCGTACATGTGGATTTTTTGGATCGATGATGATGCCGGGCAGAAAAGCTTTGGTCGTGACAACAGCAATGCAAGCACGAGCGCCGCACGCGAGCAAAGATACGCAAGTACGTTCCAATCCCTACAAGGGAAGCTAGGTCGACGTTGCAACAAGGGTGCACCCGCTATGGCATGGTGTGTCCTGCTGCGGGTACGGCGGGTGTTGTGTGCTTCCTCTCGTCAGGTGTGTTTTTGCGGGTCCTTCCCTTAGCAGCGCGACGGTAATAAATCGGGTAAAAAGTTCTTGTTGTGTTTGGCATCTAGCCCGCTACACCGCGAAACGAAAGAGCACCAGCCACAGGAGGGGTGCACCATTGCGAATTGGTCTGTGACAGCTTGGGGTGGCCAGTACATGAGTACACAAGAGGCCGGCTATGCACACACAGCAGCCGGCCACCGCCCAATTCGGTTCACCCGCGTGTTCTGCGATTACGAGAGAGCTAGAGAGAGACGCAAACCATAACACCCCTCAGCTCACCCGTAGGAAAGTGATGCCTTTGCACAGCAGCAGAAACGCTGACTCCAGAAAGAATTGGCCACAAGGATGTTTATCTCTGTCACGCGGCAGTGTGGTAGTAGAACGGCGATACAGAAGAGCTTGTCTCTCTGATTTTCTCAAACATCAGTCGTTCTCAGATGGGGCCCTCACAAGTCGAAACTGTGGGGTGTAGTCCTATGCTTGTGATCCTTCCCTATGCGGAGCCCCACACGGCCAGCAATGCGGCACAATCTGTACCGTTCCGAAGCTGTCAGGTTGTACCGCCGTATCGCCGTGTACTCGACCCTTTTATCTTTCTCTCTCGCGCGCGCGGGCTTTCCATCGCTATGTAGCGTACTTAAGGGGAAGTTACGGCGACATCTGTTGCTTGGTACAGTAGTAGTCGCTATTTTGTATGGTGGTAGGTGTTGCAGTGGAAGTGGGAACTGCTGTGCACCCACTACACGCCGACAGCAGACGAAACACGAAAGCGACCGGAGCTCGCCTCCTGCGATAGGTATTGAGTAAGTTTCGATCTCTGCTCGGCGTTAGAAGCTATGGACGGGCCCACGCTGATAACGCAGCCGCCTGGGTACCCAGAGGAGCGCCCGGAGACGGATGATATGGACGGTATGCTTGACCATATCGCCGACGAGCTCGAGGGAAAACAGATGCTGGAAAAGCCTCGAGTGTCGAAAAAGGCGAGCCGGACAAATGCACATGAAGCCGTGCATGCACCCAGGCAAACGCATGTGTAGAACCATGGAATTTCTTTTTTATGAGAGCGAAATACTTGCTGGAACACAATATGCCTTTGCAACATTCAAAAAGAGACCATGCCTCACGCACTTTGGTGGCGTGGCACTTTGTCACGGCAGCCAGGCTGAACAAGGAAACACGCCGGGTCGAGAGCAATCGATGACACAGGTTGCCAATACCGGCAGCATTCACAAAGTCGAAGCCTATTCCGTCGCGGAGACCCTTATGTTTGAAGTTGCTGTCGTTGTTTCGCAACGACTTGACACCATCAGGTGATGGTATTCGCCCTGAAAGAGCAGAACCGCATCATTGGGCAGCTTCGGAGAGAAGCCAACGCCAACTTCATGCTCCTGGATGACAGGAGTCGGCGGACCCAGGATTTAGTCCAGAAGCTCGTGGGCAAGGTCAGGAGACTTGGTCACTTTCAATGAAACACGGAATGAATCCCTGTAGCCGGCCGTAATCAGTGTTTTGCGCTTTGCCGAGTGTGCGAGATGTGGCTGCGTGGCGGTCGGCCCCCACAGGTAGGTTCGAGTCTTGCCTCTAGTCCAAAGTAGTACAGCAGTGCGAATCGCAGAGGCAGCTTGTTCTAACAGCTGTATCAGGGACATTTAGGTGTTGGACTCGGAGACCATGGTGACCGATACCGGCGACTCTCATGAAAGGGAAGCGAGGACAATTCAATGCGCTGTCGTCCGAGAAATCCACCGTGCCTGGTCGTGCTTAGATCGTAGAATCGCAACATGTGTTTCACCTCATCACGTAGATAGTCAAAGACCGTAATTTCTCGTGATGCAACCCTTACAGCGGTTTGAGGCAATTCCAGCTATTACATTCACACTGTTAATTCACACGTGAATCGCACTGGACACGTCACAGCAACGGTTCGTCCTCGGTTTGGTTGTTGCGATTGATCAGATCAACACCCAGGAGACTCAGCTTCAGAAAGCAGAAGGGACAATCACGGCAATGCAGGGAGAGATGCAGCACATGCGGGGCAAAATCGAGGAGGCCTTGAAGCTTATCGATATCGCCAAGAAGCTCGAGGAGAAAATTGTCTCCGTGCAACACAGGTAAGAGAGGACGCGGCCCGTGCACCGCTCGTCCGCTGCAAAGGTGTAGAGGGTTTATCATGGACGCATTGCAACAAGCATCTTCCTGCATTTCCATTGATATCCCGTCCAGCCCGTCCCCAAATGCCCCATGGTGAGAGGGGACTCAGCCACTAGTCTTATTTGCCCGTCGATATCGGCAACATCATTGGTGAAACAAACATACCGGGGGAGCATACAGCAGTTTCCGCGGTGATACACACTGCAGTGCGACTTGCAAACCTGCCTTGAGGGCTGGCCCTCGGTCCCCCTAGGAGACCGTTAAAATAGAACAAAGTCCCTTACATCACGTTTTCACTCGTGGCATGCAGCACAACACGGTGATGATGACAGCTAATCGAAAATCATTTCCTGCAGGCTCGAGACGCATACGGCCACGCTCAAGGCACACGAGGCACGATTTGGAGAGATCGATCGATTGGCCGGGAGGGTTTCAATCTTGGAGGAAGCGCTAACCAAGATATCAGGTGAACGGGGAAAAATTCTCCGCTTGCAGCCTGTGAATGCGGTCAAGCTGCCAATTGTCTGTACAGAAAGCATTCCGACACTAAATACGAGCTCGGTGACTAGGGCCTGCCTTGATACACTCTTTCTGCAGGTTGCCTGGTTTCGCGTCGTAGTTTCACTCCCTATACAGGTGCTTTGCTTTATCTGCAATTGACGTGCGTGCTGTGTCCTCTCTTTTGCGAATCTCTCAGGGGATGACGTGTACGTGACCACCGACCATATGGGCGAGCCGATGCCCCTGAATACGGTGGTCCAGAACTTGCAGATCACGCTGACGGAGTACAACGTCAAGATCCACGAGCAATCTAAGGTAGTGCGTGCAGCCATGCGGTCGAAGACAAGGCCATTCTGCCTGGTCGGCCTTGATCCCGGCATCTTCTTATCTCGGCTCTAGTCATGGATCACTCGAAGGTTACCGCATTGGTTGCATTGACGTAGCCTTGCTTCCGGGAGTATGTTGGCGTGGAAAACGAAAGACTGCTACCCGCGCATGTCTTGCGGCCCTCAAGGTATCCGCCATGTATCACCACTTACAAAACAGAGAGCTTCGTGCTTCAGGCGTAGGCAGCACCTTGTACGCTATTTTCACTCTCGTGCAGATCATGTCAAGCCTTCACCTCGACTCAGGTCGACCTCGACTCCTTGCCTTGTTGCACGTGCAAATCCACAGGCCCTCCGACAACAGAGCGAGGTCCTGGCGAAGGCGGAAGGTCAGCTGGCAGAAGGAATACGTGTCAATAGAGAGAACATCGAGGAAATGCAGGTAAACCCTCAACGCTTAGATTTGCCAAGGTCGAAAAAAAAACGCGATACAGATACAGATAAACATGCGACGACAATTGTTAAGCTCATCTGTTGCACAGCGGCATGTTACGTGTGAAGGTGCCGCTGTAGGTCTCCGATACTGTTAAAAAAATGCTTTAATCGACGTAGGCGGTCGCTACTGCTAACCCCAACCCAAATAGTTTCGAGCGTTTCTGCGCTTTCAAACGATTTGCATGGTGGCGACGAAGTGGTGTCGACGCCTAGTGCTTCGGCGTGAACGACGGTCGACAATATCTCCCCTGGGTTTGTGCAGGTGAAATTGGCAAAGAACGACGACATCGACCTAGGGGAGATACGAAGAGGGCAGACGTCTATTGCCGAGCAGCTCGACGTCATCCAGCAAGAGCTGTTGGCAAAGATAGACAAATGTGAGGCACAAGGAGAAAAGGGTGTCATTTTGAAGAGTATCGAGTTGATGTTGCTACTGCTGCCGCTGTTTTCCGCTCGTTACCAAAATATGGACTTGCTGTCGCGTTGTCACGGAACTGCTCAAGAGCTTTCAAGCAAACAGACTAGGGTCTACCAACATTGCAGAACGCAGTTTAAGGGATTGCCTTGGTTACTATTAACATCGTACGGGGGGAGGGCGAACAACGACTTTCAGAGTAAGCAAAAGCCACTTTCGGAGCAAGCATAGTGTGCATTTGATAGAAAGAGGGCACTCCAGTACGTCTCAATAAATGTAATCTACACTAAAGAGCTGTCCATTGCGTCTTTCGTAGCCACCAGACGATCATGGCATGTGAAACGGAGCTGACGACAGGTTGAACAAGTATCCAAAACGCCGGCCATTCCGCGTGTCGCGTTTCCCACATGCCATGTCCCTCTTGCGCCGCATGGTTCACTCAGCGTACGTGGACGAACACGTGGAAGCACGGTACGAAGAGATCATCAACCACTTGCACAAGGCCTTGTCCTCGACGGAGCAGGACGAGCAAGAGTTCAAGGTAATCGGCGTAGCCCCAGGGTGTTGGAGTACAACTTCATGTGTTGTTTGTGGCTAACCAAGGCTCCAGCACGATGTGTGCCACGGCGCGGCGCATTCGTTGACCGAGGGGGGACAGGATCAGCAAGGCTGGCAGCCCAACCAGCACGTTTTACACACGCATCAACATTGAGTCGAGATTTACCACAAGGGAGCCGATCATGTACTCATCGTGACCGTTTCATAACTCTTGTGCTCGTCGAGATTTCCCTGCCCCGTCCTCCAACGCCGACGATGCCGCGCATATCGGGTGCACTCCCTTGAGGACCCCTGCCTGAGGTTAAACCAGTGGTAGATACCGAGAGAACCTCTAGTACATACCCCATGCTCGGCATGACTCCGGGTACAAGTCAAGCCGTTTGGTGAATGCGGGTATGGTCCTCGACAGACGGTGAGCGGATTGTACCCTTTATGAAGGGGATATCCATAGTTTCTCTGGCCCGATCCCGAGGGTTGCTTTGCAGACGTTCGAAAATTGTTTTTTTATACCTTTCTCTCCTTCTTCTTTGCTTGCGGCGCACGACAGAAACGAGCCAACAATCTCCAGAACGTCATCGAGCAGCTGAGTGCCAACAAGGCGGACCGGAGAGAGCTCTTGGAACTGAAACAGTTCATGGTATCCTTGAACGTGAGTGCCTCGCGCAGACAGCAAGAGTTCTACTTCATGAGAAACTCCGAAATAATGCCCAAAGGGCCCTGGACTGTTCATGGGCTGGCCTTGATGACGACCTCGTTTATTCTTCACGTCTTCTCAATCCCGAGAACAGCGATGATATAGTCAAAGAATTTCAGATGTTTGTTCGATCGCTCATCGCACCGTCCGAAAACAATTTGTTCCCGCCGACTGGTGGGCATGACAACATAATCTTGCTCCGCACTGTGGGGGGTCGGCTGATCCGGTGTCTGCGTGTTCCGGCTCGTTGGTTGAGTGTTATTGACGGTTGGCTGTATCACCATTAATGTACCCACGTTGCCTCTCAACACATGAACCGGACTTTATCGATTCCAGAGGCGAAACTTTATCTTCCCGTCGCGGTGGTCTATTTCGAGTTTGAGAGCAGCCTTCGAGAGGCTAGGTGAAGAATTCAAATCCTGGCGAAAGCGAGTGTTCCTATGCTCATTTTGGTCTTCGAACTTCAGGAAACTCCTGTGTCTAAGCAAACATGAGGGGAAGACGTGCTGAACCTCTTTTGCGAAACACTGCAGGTCCCGGATCGGAGCCATTCAGCTAGAGCAGCTAGGCCGTAGAAAGTTGGAGCGACAGTAAGCAGAATCGAACGGTCGTGAAATAGAAAATTTAACCAACGTGCATCAACACACAAGTCATGACTTCTGGTCATCATAGAACCCTTGTCGAAGCACGTTGTTTGACTGCCTGTCCATCCACGTCCTCTCCACCCCTCAAGCAGTCCGTCCTTACGCTCGCACCAATCCCTCACTGCAGGGCCAAGAGCGACGAAACAGCACAGAGAGACGGCGTTCTTCCGCGGCTTCTGTGGGAACGGGCAGCGGCGAAGGAAACCCGCTGACGGGGCCTATCACCCGAGACGAGGTGTTTAACCTGTTGGAGGAGAAGGCGGACAGGAAGGATCTGGAGAAGAGGATGGCCGCCATCGTTACGAGGTTAGCGTCTTAAGCGTGTCAATATTTCCCCTCCTCTCCCCCACCTCCCCCCCCGCCCCCCTTTCTCTCTCTGCCCTATCCGCTCTCCCATGGCACGTCGGCGAAATATTCCCCGCATCAGACGCCGCGTACAATTGATCCACCCCTCACGAACCGACCACTGATGTCACACAAATCCCGGTTCGCGTCTCGCTTGAGAGTCATTTTTGTTTCCCGTTTTCTGCCCTGCTCGTGCGGGGCCGGTGTCGAACCTTCCGATTTCTGGGTGCCCCCACGGAAGGGTAAACAACGCGGTTATCCGAAGGGGAAGTGGGGGATCGACGGCTGTGCAGGGGGCGACTCCGACAGGACCGGCGGGGCCGAATGGCTACGGTGGAACGCCCGCACAAAGAGGGGGGAAAGGGGGGCCTGGCGGGACGCAGAGCAACAACGACATTGACGGTGCGCGGTACCATTTACTACAGATCGATGGAGTCGCGTTGGCGTGTGAAGTTTCTGCACTGGTGTTCGTCGATAATTGGGGTAGATTGCTGGATTTGTTGTGTGTAGTTTACGTAGAGACACCTCCATAGTCGAAGGCATGACTTGTCGCCATCGTGGTCAGTACCGCAGCTTTGGCTCAACGGCCTAGAGCCCAGGGGGCCGGCCCGGAGAGATTAGCCTCGTGCCTGAAGGCCTCTTGTTGACTTTGTGCGTGCTTCGGTTGTCACCAAACTTCGAGATTTTCGGGAAGCATGCACAGCGATTGCTTGCTGGAGGTATCGACAGCAAGAGCGTTGACTCATGTAGTCTGGATGGTGGACAGCAAACTCTCGACGGAAACCCGCGGGTTCGTTTCCTTGCCGCCTTAGCCCTGTCGCGAAGCAATAAACCGAGCGAAAACCTTCTGAATGCTGTCACTGCTGTGCCTTGTGTACCCACCTCGCACCGACGCTCGTTCTCCAATTCAGCCTGGGAAGCATGGGAGCCTGACCCGGAGGGAGCTCTGGCGCTGAGCAAGCAGCTCACCGACGGCTTCGGGAGAGCGGTCAAACCAGACGGAATGGCTGTCGGCACTTGCCTTTCCTGCAAGGTGCGACCTCAATGGACGCATGTGCTGAAACTGCGAGACACGAATCACACAAAAAATCGCACGAAACGCGACATTTCCAGTGCACACGAGGTTGAGCTTGCGCACCATGCTTCTTGGTACAATACGTTGTCTCTTTCTCGTCAGAAAAAAACCGGGTCGGGCTTGCTGTGCCTTTCATGTCTTCTATTGGATATGGTACAAACATCAACCCAATGGGTTCTATATCAGTATTTGCGTTGGAGGGCGGGGAATAGCACAGATTTTGACTTCCTGTACCAGTCATACGGTGCCGCACGAAGGTTCGGCAGCTGGCCACCGTGCACTCGACTCCTGTGCGCTCCTGGGGCATGCGTTCAACCCCGCTATTCATCGATACCACGGACTAAAAGATACTGTACCAGTCAACCGTAGAAGATAACGCTGCATCAGTCTCACGGAGGTCGCGGAGTATCCTGAAGTTTCGTACGTCCCGCACCCTCCATTCCCCATCCACCCTCCCTCTTTCTTTCACCACTGTCCCTTGAAGGCACCAATTGTGCACCCAGACAAAATGGACTTGTTCCCAGGGGTTTCGAGAGGCGGCGGGTTTCAGTTGTGGTCACCTTCGGGCAAGGGGCCGCCACTCCGCGCACCCCCAGGCGATACCCTCCCTGAGCTAGACCCTACCGATGGTCGGCATATCATCGGGAAGGTAAGATTCGTTTGTGATCGTGGTTGGGCAAGTCTGCCAGAATCAGTAGCACCGCAAGCACGCATCGATAATCTATGTTGCGGCATCTGGCTCAGGGAATGTGGCATCCGGCTCGCGGAATGCGACAATGCTACGCTCACTGACGTCACCAGGGCTAAAAGAAGAAACGATCTCGGTCGGTAGATGCTGTAGATCAGGAAGAAACAAGTCAGTAACAGACAACAATCAATCGGTTATGGTGGTACATGGGAGCAGTCCTTGCAGGCCATGTGCATGTGATGTGGAGGTCTCTCGACATTACCGGCATTCAACACTCGGTTTTTTCATAACACCTGCACCCGGATGGGAGCACGTTCTTGCAGCGACCTCGGGATATCTTGCACCGTGCTACACACAAGACTGTGCAATGTGGCCAGGCGTCTGTTCGAGCACGTAGCTCAAATTTCGTGAGCGATTCGTTAGCCAAATGAGATCTGCTGCTCTGCATTCGTATCTTCGTCTCAAACACCCCACAGGACGGAAATCTTTACTTAGCGCAAACAAGCGGACCGTTGACGGGGGCAGTGCCGCCCGACACCAGGTGTGTACTCGTCATCTGATGTATACATCTAATGCCGCGACTGTTTCTGCTTTACACCTAAGAAACACACTGGCGGTGTACGAGAGGGGCCTACCAAGCCCCAGCTTTCGTAGTTCTTTTCTTATCTTGACAGAACGAAATGTATGCTCCCTTTCTTGTTCGCGTTTGTACGTCCACGTCAGGAATCGATTGAAGAGAACGAATGGTGGGAGGCTGAAGTGTATGCTGTTGAAAACAGAATTGCACGGGGTACACCGTTTTCTCTCTTTTGTGGATTCCCCTTCACCCCACGGTTTCAAATCGACTCGCCTCCGTCTTGACTCGCCTCCGTCTTGACGCCACAAAGTCAATCTTGTCTCTGCGTGACCGTTGAACGCGTTTTCGCCTCGTTCCCTTGTCTCGCAGACCTGGCGGGCCCACGCCAACAAGACCAAAAACTGCAGAAGGCTGAAGCCACGTAGTCTACAGTTGCCGTTCAGAGACCGCACGTTATGGAGAGACAGAGAAAGAGAGAGAGATCTGGCCAAGCTGGTCGCAACGTGCTGGCAATTCTTGTGATTCGTCCCTTCTGATTGTAGCATTGCTCGCACTTTTTCTGTTATCTTTGTAAGGGACCATTGATTCGCGGTTGACGTGTCCGAGTTTAGAACGTCAATATCTAGCCTTTCAATCAACTTCGAACCGTTCTCGTGGTGAGTGAAATGTTCAATAGTTGGTGTTTGTGTCTGGGGTGTTCGTGCGTTTGTATGTAGTTCCTTGCGTGTTCTGTGTTTGTGCGTATTCACCGCACATTCTAAGGCGAGGGGCGCACTCCGAAAAGAGCGCTCCCTGTGCGGTGCTTTTTTCGAATGCCGCAACAGTGCCTCGTAGTGATCTCGTTCAGACCCCGGAGACCGACCTTCAAACTACATGACGATAAGTACGTGAAGGAAAACTCAGCAACAACACGTTTGTTTCCAACCACCCTTACCGCCCTCGTTAGTCTCTTGACTGTCGAGCAAGAAAATATTGTAGATCAAAGTTGTTTTTTGTGTTGTGTCTAGACTAATTCCTTTGCCGCCCACTTGGCATGCCTCCGACGTATCTACATAGGGTATGCAGATGAATCTACGTGAGTATTCGTACCAGAGGAGAGGACACAGGGTGATCGATGTTTTCGTAAGGGCTTGTACGGAGTAGAACAACGCATCTATCGATATACATGTAAATGTACTTTGGAAACACACCCACCCTACACAAACAAGACACTTTACGATTTCATCATGTCTACTCCAGCGTGATCGCATGCTCCCGGTGCTTGCTACCACGATGTGTGCGAAAAGCGAGAAGCCTGAAGATGCAGCATGCGGCATAACTAAAGAAGAAGAACAGTACACAGAGCCCGAACCGATGCATTATCCGGCGCCCAGAACCTGTTTCGCTTTGTGTACAGCGTACCAAGTGTACCGTGTTGTCAGGACATTGTTCGTAGGCGGGGCGCGCCTTCAGCGTCTTCTGGAGGGTGGGAAAGGACCTACTGTAGGAGAACAGAGTAGCCGGTCACGACCTCACCGACGTTAGCAATCACTTTGGCAGCAAGAACCGCAACCGCGGCGGGACCCCGAAGAAGGTGGATCTGACTCGGTCGGTCCAGGACATCGGAGGAGACGATCTGACGATCTGACTCTGTTCGGGCAGAAGCGCGCAGCGAAAGTCAAGCGTTGTCTGTGTGACGGCAGCGATGGTCTTCTCCGCGCTGTTAGGCTTCGTTAGTAGAACGTCCGTTGGTTCATGGCGTGCTACTGTTGTTGCACAAGGTGCGTTTTTCGCGGGCTGGTTGGACACTCTGTGGGAACATGGGCATACAGTGGACCCGCATTGCATCGATTGCTATTGTAACACAGGAAATACACGTTGCCCCCAGTAGCAGGAGCCGTCTAGGCTACTGATACGAGGTGTGTCATATTCCGTTATATGCTCAGATAGACAGCACAGTAGAGCATGGTCCGAAACTTTGAAGGCGGGGCATTTTTTTGGCTGAGCGCGGTGAGAAGCTCGCTACTGCCACTGACTCTGGTGACACTTGCCTGGTACTGATGCTGCACGTTCCCGTCCTTCTAACAATCCGGACTTCCTTTCACACACCCAGGGTTCCCCTTTTCAGCGGCTGACAGAGGGTTACCGAGGACCGTGACAACTGCCGGCTGGGCCAACCACCGTACTTGTAGCCGTGGACGCTCACCGCTGCTACCGTGGTGCCAACGTTACGCTACTCCTGTTGCGAGATACCACGCCAACACGCGGCCAGATATATCATCTGCTGGGCATCCAAGCCGCTGCGTTTCCCGAAAGGGCATGTCTACCGGTAGCAATCCGGCGATGGCGACGGCTGCGGCAGGAGAACCTTCTGGTGGAGTGGTAAAGTTCGTGAAGACGGAGGCTGCCGCTAGACGCAATGCCGACCCCGGGTCGGTGGCGTTTGTGACCGGGGCCAACAGGGGAATAGGGCTGGAGGTGACAAGGCAGCTGCTGGAAAGGGCCAAGGGTGAGCGAGACTACTGTATCGCAGCGGGCGAAAAGCGTGTTACCATACGAAGACCAACATGGAAGCGTTGGTGCGAAGCGTGCACGAAAGAAGACGGCCGGTGACTGTAGGAAAGCGAAGCTTTAAACTCAGCGTGGGGGACGCTAGCTCCAGGGCAGCGTTTTCCCACGTGATCGTTGTGTTGCATAGGTATCCAGGGCAGCGTTTCTTTACAAGGAGAGAAAAGCCTGTGACATACTTTCCCGCGTGATCGTTGTTGTGTTGCATAGGTAACTCCTGTCGTTTTCTTTTGTCGCACACTACTGAACAGGAACCGTGGTTGCGGCATGCAGGGACCCCTCTTCCGCGGCAGACCTGCGCGCCCTTGGAAGGATAGCTGGAAACGAGAAAAGGCTAGACATGGTCAAGATGGATATCGAAGACCAGACCTCCCTGGAGACCGCCGCAGAGCATGTTAGGAGCACATACGGGGTGGGTAAATGCTACGTTCGTCAATGGTTTTTCTGCTTTTCGTCAGGTTAGGCGCTGTGTGTTGGTTGGCCTTTTGAGCGTAAAGCGCTTTTTTACACTTGAAAAAAGACCTGAATAGGTTGGTTGAGGTCAGACGCCTGCCTCCCTTGAGGAATACGTCTCGTGCGGAGCCGCACAAGACCAAAGACGGTGGGAAGTCTTAGTACGAGAGGCCTCCGCAACCCTCGATAGAAGGGAATGCGCTTCCCCTCCCAACCACACTGCCACCCTTCCCCATCCCCTCTGCAGCGCGTAGACCTTCTGTTCAACGTTGCGGGCGTGCTAGGCGACGGCAAGAATACTCCAGGTCCGGAGCGATCCGTGCGCGCGATGGACCGGGATTGGCTGCGACATACCCTGGAGGTTAACACCATAGGCCCCATGATGCTGGTGGCAGCGTTGACGCCTCTCTTGGAAAGCCCGGCAAAGAAGGGGGACGACGGCGCGAAACCTCCGTCTGTCGTGGTCAATTTCAGCGCTCGGGTCGGATCGATTGGGGACAACGGGTTGGGAGGCTGGCACAGCTACCGCATGTCGAAGGTGTGGGACTGCATGCAGACAGGGCGTTCTTCCGCAAGCGCCAGACCCCCGGAAGTGTTACGTCGGGGGGGGGGTGGCGTTGACGAACGATGGAAAGAGGCTGGGTTGGGTTGTCTCGTGTCAGCGAGAGAGAAAGCTCCTCAGAAGTTGAAGCCGAAAGCCATCCCTTGATACAACCGAGCTGTTTGTTGCTCGCCCGATGCCAGGAACACCGGATGCCCTGGGAATGCTCAACAGCTGACCCAACTACCCTCTGACGCCCCGTTGTCCCCGGCGCCCGCTTTCTCACTCCACGAAGCCTTGCCATACGTTTCTGTCGCGTTTGTCTATTTTATGCGCTGTGCGCATCCCTCGAATCAGTCTGCGTTGAACATGGCAACCAAGGGCATCTCCATCGAGCTCAGGCGCCGCCGGGTGTGGGCCTTTAGTTACCACCCCGGGACAACCGACACTGGACTGTCGGAGCCGTTCCAGGCGAACGTCAAACCTGAGAAGCTCTTCACACCGGACTACACCGTGTCTCAAGTGCTGGGAATCGTGGATTCCATGACCGAGGACTTGTCCGGGGGGTTCTACGCGTTTGACGGCAGCAGAATCGTGTGGTAGATTTGCCTTCATATACAGGGGGGACTCATCGCTCGTCTCTTTCGGGACTCGTGCCGTGTGTGTTTGACCTATTGCCATGCGGGGGTGGAGGTTATTTCGGTTTCATAAACAAAAGTCCTGTGCATGCTACGCCTAGCTTTTCTGTCGCTCGTTTGTTTGTGTTGCTGGATGGAAGGGGGTGTCAAGTTACCCGTCTCTCTTTTTTTGTCTTAGCGGCGTGTCTTCACGAGTGCACCCTGTGACAATGGAGATTGATTGAAATGGGTTCAGAGAGTTCAAAGAAGGTGGGTTCTTGGCAATGGAATTCGATGAGAGCTCACATTCACTACTGCCCCTTAGGGAAAAGGGGATGAAACGAACAAGACTACCCCCTCCCACCCGTTTCGCCTGAACCGAATTTATTCGTTCTTGAGGGCAACGCAGTGTGGTCCGCAGAGACGCGCAGTGTCTTATCCCCGCATAGGCGCCGGAGTTATCTCATGACGTCACGAGCAAGCGCCCGCGACAATTCAACAGCGATGCGACATTCGTCCGGATGTCGGTGTGAAAAACCGAAGGGAAACCTCACCCGTGTGTGTACAACTCAAATATCAGAGGAAAGAAAACTCCACTGATATCGCCTTGATATAATTATATTTTACATTTCGGGCCCATCGCGCCTACCCCTGCACCGATAGTACATCGGTGCGTGCGACCCGAACCGTTTCACACCCCAAGAGTCACAAAAGGAACTCCACGCGCAACAACGGCCGGCGACCGACGCACAGCCTCCAAAACGTGCTGGAACCCTTTCATTCAAACCAGGAAAGAGCCCCCTACCAATTCTATCCTCCGCTTGCAGGGAAAAAACAAAAGGGCCAGATCAAGGGTGCGGCTGCACCCGGAGAACACATTCTTGCCATTCCCGCCCACAGGTCCAACTTTCGTCCCCCCCCCCCCCCCGCCGCCCCCCCCGGAACCCCCCGTTTGAGCAGCGGGGATCCTTTATCCACCACGACAAAAATGCATCAAAACAGCAGGGTTGATGCAGGTCGATCGCTCGCTCGTGATCCAAACAAAACACCAGGCTGTCTCGGGGCGCCCCCTCGCCAAAGTATACCCCGTGTATTTAGTTGTAGCTCTTCTTGGCCTCCATTTGGCAGGTCTGCAGGGCCTCGAAGACGAACTGGCACGCAGTGACGTCGTTGTTGTTGTTCTGCAGGCACTGTCCGAAGTTTTGCTTGTCCACGTCGCATGGGTCAACCGGGGGCTGCTGGTAAGCCTGCGGCTGTTCATTGTTGTGTTCACACCGGAAAAACAAAGAAAATACAGGAGATGAGGGGGTGCGGGTGTTCGGTACCACATGTAGTCCCATGACAAGATTCACGGAGGTGCAGTGAAACGAAACAATAGATATGAAAAGCAGGGCGATAAATCAGGCCGGGCAAGAGCAAAACCACCCATTGTATAGATAGAGCCACAATTTCAAGCGTGGGTGATAACTTGTGCGGCGTATCTGGGGAAACAGGCAACGGCCGAGACCCGTGAGCGCTGATTGCCCTGGTATTATTTTTCAGCCCCATTGTATTTGAGGGTAACATTTTTTTGGGTAAGTTATCTTGTGACCACGGGAATCGACCGCCCCAAGTGTCAGATCAGCACGGACATACGAAGGTACTGTGTACAGAGATTGGAGCGGTTTACAATTGTGAAGACAACAGCAGTAACAACGGGGAAAATCAACACAAGCACAGAGAGAGTTACACTCATCGGCCCTGTTGGTCCAACTCATTCACCCCGTTGAGAGCAACAATGCAGCTGGGCCGTGTACAGAGGGTTGTTTTTCGCGTCATTTCCATTACCCCGTGCAAGGAGGAAAGCAGTCCTAGAGGTTCATCCACAACACTCCCGTATTGGGGGGGGGGGCACCACCGAATACATAGGCCGGACAGCTTCGAGGTGCTAGACTCTCCATCTACCAAAACCTCGACCGGCGGATGTTGCCGTGAGGTTGGCGGCGGCGACAGAAAGCTTGGCTCAAACCGAAAACAGCATGGCCACAATACTCCCGTATTGGGGCGGGGGGGGGGGGGGGGGCCCCGAAAAAAAAGGCGGGAAACCTTCAGGGGGAAATTTGCCCCCCCCCAAACAAAACCCCACCCGGGGAATTTTCCCGGGGGGTTGGGTTTGGCAAAAAAAAATTTTTTTAAAAAAAAAAAAAAAAGGGGGGGGGGGGGGGGCCCCCTCGTGGCCACAGGGGGGTGGGAAAAAAAAAAATCCCCCCTTTGTCCTGAAATTTGTCCCCGGG